TTCTTGGGGAGGGGGGGGTTCTCTCTCTCTCTCTCTCTCTCTCTCTCTCTCTCTCTTCTCTCTCTCTCTTTCTCTCTCCGTTTTTTTTTCTTTGTTTTTTCTTTGTACAATCATTTGATTTGTCTATACTTAAGTTCAAAATGGTGTTGTATATTGCTGTTTTAGCGGTAACAAGGAAAAAAATTTACTGCGTTTATATTTTCCTCATCTTATTTCCATCGAAACGATGGGGATGTCATTTTTAAAAGATTCGCGAGAACTTTTCCTTGCTTCGTCTTCGGAAAGAAAAAAGAAGAAAAAGAAGAAGAAAAAGAAGAAAAAAAATGTTAATTAAATGTTTTCAGATAACTTCCTTTTACTTCTTATTACACGTTACGAAGGACGAAGGACTTGACGTATAACAGAGTTTTATGTTGCAAGATAATGGAGTCTTAGCGGGCCCATTATCGTTACGAGTTGCAAACTATATTGCCCACATTACGCGTCAGCTATAAGGCGGCTGTTGTTACTTTCTTCAACCGACTTTTATTAACAATTAATGCAAGTAAGAAACGGTCATGATATTCTATATACATGTATTATATATATATATATATATATATATATATATATGTATATATATACATTTTTATTATTTCTCATGAAAATTTATGCACGGAACGAATCAGATAGGATTTTCTTTTTCTATTTATTTTTTTTTTCTTTCGTTTTATCTTTTTCTTTTTCCTTTTTTTTTTTTTATACAACGAAATATCTTTTTAATGTCATTCAATAGAAAAACAAATTTTTTGAGTTTTCCTTTTAATGCTTTCAACTCTATTATTTTTTTTGTCATTCGTTTTGTACATTAAGAACTCTCTTGTGTTTCATTATATACATATGTATATATATATATATTTTTTTTTCTTTTTACGTATTTTTTCATATAGTTCATTCATGACTTATAAAAGTGTACAATTTTCTAATGAAAGATTCTGGGAAAGAGATTATTTTATCTGAAAATACGACGAGTCGGATTCTAAGTAAGATCAAAAAGGTTTCAAAATTTTTCATGAAATATATTCTCTATTAAAAGCAAATAAATACGACGAACATGAAGAGAAACATTTAAAAAAAATGTTAAATTATAAAAGGATATCGTTTAAACAGAACGAAAAGGAAATTTTCTTTTGTTTTGTTTGCAATTAATTCCCTCAATGAAATATAATATATGTACATATAAAGAATGATTACGTTGTCTAACGAACCATGATAACGTTGGTGTGAGATGTTGCACTGATCGTCAAGGTTGCCGCACTTGAACATGATCCTCTGCAAAAGTATGCATGATAACCTCTAGGATGGAGTATCCAATCGCTCCAGCCAATGTCTGCAAAGTTAATGTAGAGTTCGTCTCTACAACATTCCTTCATTTCCGGTGAGCAATTGGAGTTCCTTTTTGGCCGATTTTTTTGTGGCAACGGTGACGTATGTATTACCAAGAAGGGCTTCAGTGTTTGCTCGATGGAGACCGGTGCTGTGTCACGGTCGATCGAGCAGGTGCTGCAGGCTATTTGCATCGCGTGGTTCAGTTGATGCCTTTCCACCCACTTTCTCACCGTAAAACCCACGTCCGTCTTTACCCAACCCTCTGAAAAAGATAAAAGAACACATTCAACCTTTTCGTCTATTCCCTCTCTCTCTCTCTTACTTTCTTTCTTTTTCTCTATCTATCTCTCTATCTATCTTTATCTCTTTTATTTTCTTCTATGAGATACTTTCTTACTTTTCTACACGCTTCTTCCATTAGACTTTCTAATTATCAATTTAAGGGATGAGAAGATAAAAGAAAAGGAGAAAGAGAGAGAGAGAGAAAGAGGGATAGAAGATCGGATGATAATATTATATGTAAACTTTCTCTTAGGTATCATATTTATGTAATATAATATAATATAATATAATATAATATAATATAATATAATATAATATTTAATATAAAATATTAGATGGTATATCTATAGAAATTAATTTGATATTGATTATTGTGTATATATATATATATATATATATATATATATATATATATTTATACGTAATAAATGTATATATTATATAATGATCTATCTATTCAAATTAATATGTGAATTAAAAAAATTGAAAATAAAATATTATTAATTGAAATTTTAATCAAAATTATTATATCTGTATGTAATATTTCATGAGTAAATTTTTATCGTATTCGTCTACTTTTTTTTTCGTATTTATCTACGTGTTATATATATTTATATATACAATTGAATTTATATAACAATTAAAAATTAAAATAAAATCATTAATCCGGTATAGAATAATAATAATAATAATAATAATAATAATAATAATAATAATAATAATAATAATAATAATAATAATAATAATAATAATAATAATAATAATAATAATAATAATAATAATAATAATAATAATAATAATAATAATAATAATAATAATAATAATAATAATAATAATAATAATAATAATAATAATAATAATAATAATAATAATAATAATAATAATAATAATAATAATAATAATAATAATAATAATAATAATAATAATAATAATAATAATAATAATAATAATAATAATAATAATAATAATAATAATAATAATAATAATAATAATAATAATAATAATAATAATAATAATAATAATAATAATAATAATAATAATAATAATAATAATAATAATAATAATAATAATAATAATAATAATAATAATAATAATAATAATAATAATAATAATAATAATAATAATAATAATAATAATAATAATAATAATAATAATAATAATAATAATAATAATAATAATAATAATAATAATAATAATAATAATAATAATAATAATAATAATAATAATAATAATAATAATAATAATAATAATAATAATAATAATAATAATAATAATAATAATAATAATAATAATAATAATAATAATAATAATAATAATAATAATAATAATAATAATAATAATAATAATAATAATAATAATAATAATAATAATAATAATAATAATAATAATAATAATAATAATAATAATAATAATAATAATAATAATAATAATAATAATAATAATAATAATAATAATAATAATAATAATAATAATAATAATAATAATAATAATAATAATAATAATAATAATAATAATAATAATAATAATAATAATAATAATAATAATAATAATAATAATAATAATAATAATAATAATAATAATAATAATAATAATAATAATAATAATAATAATAATAATAATAATAATAATAATAATAATAATAATAATAATAATAATAATAATAATAATAATAATAATAATAATAATAATAATAATAATAATAATAATAATAATAATAATAATAATAATAATAATAATAATAATAATAATAATAATAATAATAATAATAATAATAATAATAATAATAATAATAATAATAATATAATAATAATAATAATAATAATAATAATAATAATAATAATAATAATAATAATAATAATAATAATAATAATAATAATAATAATAATAATAATAATAATAATAATAATAATAATAATAATAATAATAATAATAATAATAATAATAATAATAATAATAATAATAATAATAATAATAATAATAATAATAATAATAATAATAATAATAATAATAATAATAATAATAATAATAATAATAATAATAATAATAATAATAATAATAATAATAATAATAATAATAATAATAGTGTAAATAAATATATTTAAATCAATTTTAAATTTACTATCGTGTTTATATGTATATGTATTTATATACTATGTATTTATGTATGTATATATATATGTAAAAAGTCACGATAATTTACTAATTTATTTGAAAAAATGAACTTTGCGATAATAACTACTTTTTATAATTTATGATCCGTCATATATATATATATATATATATATATATACATATATATGTATGTATATTATTTTCATACACAGAAAAATAAGAGAGAAAGAGAGAGGGAAAGAGAGAGGGAGAGGGAAAGAGTGAGAGGGGGGAGGGAGGGAGAGAGAGGGAGATCAATCGTTATTTTAAACAAATTATCGAACGTGCGGATCGTGTCTTTCCATTCAAAATAGAAACCAATTAAGATACTAAATGCAATAATAAGTTAGTTTAATGCAGATTTACCTCACAATCGGACTTTAGACTTTAAAAGAGAGTAACACGGATAAGAATATATTGGAACTCGTTGATAATCTCTCCTATCGTGTTATTAAAAGCCCGTGTTAATAATGGCTATAGTGTCACGTGTATTTATTCGTTGTATGCGATGTGTATTTATTCGTTAATAGGACTTTGCTTTGAGGGGGATTGAAGAGATTTTTACATATACATACACACACACACACACACACACACAAGATATTACGTTTGAAATCGATTTCAGTATTAATTAATTTTTATAAATATAATATGAGATGTAATATTATATATTATATATTACATTGTTATATTCTATATTTAGGTATGATATATAAAAACAAAAATAAAAACATATACTATAATACGCAATAATAAAAATTGAAGCATGACTTGAAATGAATTGTAAGTAACGATGTGATATAAAAAATTAGAGAAAGATCCAAAAATAAAAAGAAAAAGATAAAAGAATTGATCAATATAAAGGAAAGTTTTGTTGAGATCTATTATAATGTGATTTCGACGAGTAGAATTTTATTTCATCCATTATTTATTTCATTTACCTCCTATATCGGTATCTAAAATTGCCATCATTGTGTTCTTTTCGAAACTTTCGCCTTTGTCCCAATGATCCAATTCCGATAATACAAAAGTTTGATTGAGATCGTCGTTCTCGTCATATTCCTTATAAAACCAAAGTTGTGCCGAAGTTACATCGACGAATTGCATTTCGTTTGGCAAATAAAACGTAAAGCAAGCTGCTGGATTGAAACCCGTCAAGTGATTCGAACTTTGTCGGCATTTCTTCGAATCTCCTATCCCTGAAATAAACGATTAATTATTATTTGAATTTTTTTTTTTTTTTTTTTTTTTTTTAATAAATTTTACAAAGTTTCATTGAATGTTATTATCAGGAGAAAAAAGTTATTATTATATATACATACATATATATATATACATATATATATATATATTATATTATAAAATTATATATAGTTATTATTATATTTTTTATTTTAAATATATTATACTAGTACATACGGTATAAGTTATACTTGTAATTATTTACTATATTAATACATATAGTATTGTATATAGGAATTACATATAGTAATATATATAGAATTATACTACTATAGAGAATGAGTATATAATAATTCTAATATAATTTTAATAAGTAATGAATATAATTTAATGAATATAATATTCATTAAATTTATATGTAGTTGCATACGTAGATATATAGATTGTTCAACAACTGTTATTATCTCAATTATACCTTATGTCAATTAGTTTTGATTTTATGGAAAAATATATTAAGAACAAAGTAATCATTATTTCAAGATGGTAGGAAAGAATTTTTTCTCGAGATGATTTCTTTCTACGAGATTCCAAATTCATCGAGATTTCATTATTATTATTATTATTATTATTATTATTATTATTATTATTATTATTATTATTATTATTATTTTATTTTTTTTTATTGGCACTACTCTACGAATTTTCATCTTTTCATTTCTTTTTTTTTTTCTTTTCTTTTCTTTTTTTACACGAATCGATCCCTGCACGACTCATTTGAATTTTTTGATTAACTGATTGTGCACACGCAAGCAGGTACATGAGTTATTGCACTTGAAAGTTATGCCATTATTAAGTTCGGCATTTTTAACGTGTTAAAATTAATATAATAATAATATAAATAAGTAATTGTAAGTAAATTAATAATAATAAATTTATAAGATAAAATATAATATCACAAATAAGATATTAATATAATATTAATAGGAAATTTTTCTTAATAAAATAGCAACGAAGATCGCGAAAATTTTATTTCAGATATAATTCAATAGGATTATTATTTCGATCGGTTATTAAAGATATATTTGAAATTGATTATTCAGTAAAATTGACGTTAACTTATAGTTTCGTTCAAAGATATTCTTTTTTCAGATATGAAAATAATTAATAATTCATTCTCTGAAACTTATAAGTAAACATATTTTGTTTGTCCTTAAACGTCAAGAGAAAATATCCAATTAGCTTTGTTCAGGTATATAACAAGCACGCATGTCGTACCGATCTCGTTACAAACTAATTTAGTATCGACATTGGCCAACCACCATCGTCGTCATTCGAGAAACGATCGTTTTGTATTTTACATTAACGGTAGCGTTACGTTAGTGTTACATTACGTTACGTTAACTTCGTATTGGTTGTGTCTAACGTCAATGAAACTTTGAAAGGGTTGACTTGTATATTTTCATTATCATAAGAGAATTACGGACCTTCGGATATTTCGTAATAATTGAAGATTTTAAATGGATCTAAGAAATTTCATAAATAATGAAAAAATGAAATATATAAAAGTAACGATATATATATATATATATATATATATTAATAAATAAAACTGTTTATTGTAATTAAAATCTACCATGATTTAAACGATCATTAAACAATGAAAATTATCTCGTAATTGGACATTTTAAAAAAGATTGTAAAACTTTAGCGATTCAATAATATACGTAGTGTGAATTTTCTCTTGATTATAATGATTTTTGTCGTTATTGTCAATTTTTAATTTAAAAGGAACGAAAAATCATTCCCAAAGTTTCGTACTTTTTTTTCGTTTTTATATTGTACATATATATATTGTACATATTACTATAAAGAATAAGTATATAATAATTTTAATATAACTCTAACAAATAATTATATTATTAATTATTATTAATTACCTATTATATTATTATAGTATTATATTACTATACTATATAAAATATATAATAATTATTATACTTTTTATCATTTATTTTATATATAGTAATATAATACAATATTAATAATAGTATCTACAATAACTATATAAATTATATAATAGTACAATACTGTACATATAATTATTTATTTATTTATTTATTATTATTATTATTATTATTATTATTATTATTATTATTATTATTTTTATTATTATTATTATTATTATTCATTATATTCATTATTATTCATTATTATTATTCATTACAATTCATTATGATTCATTATGATTCATTATTATTATTCATTATATGTATTAAATCGTTATTAAGTGCAATAGATCATCGTCCAATGAAAGAAAGACTTCGAACGAATAGATTTTCGAGAGATATTTAATCTTAGGATTAAATGTTACGAAAATAACATTATTATTAGACTTTAAAGAGATAAAAATATTCATACATATATATATATAAATATATAGTGATTACGAATTCGTCGACAAAGTAATGCTATCGTATGAGATTTTTGATAGATCTATTTTTAAAAAAATGTGTATGTGTGTTTGTATATATATCTGAAATATAGCAAATCCATTGGCGATCGTATGTCAGCCGATGTTCATCGATCATTCCGTAAACTCTTCTCTTCTCTCCCTCCCTCCCTTTCTCTCTCTCTTTCTCTCTCCCCTTCTCTCTCGTATACTTTTTTTTGTCTCTATTTCCGTCTATTTCTCTTTGAATTCATAGAATCTCTATTTACACTGATACATGTCCTTCATATTAGAATAGAGATCAAATCGATCTCGTTTTGTCTCTATATAGGAAAAGGGATTCCCGTTAATAAATTTCTCCTTTGCGAAGTAGAGATTAGAACGATTTATATCCAGGAACGAGCTACGTAAAATAGTATAAGCTATTGAATATGGATAACAATATACTACAGATATATATATATATATATACACATGTGTGCGTAAGTTACACACGTACACACACACACACATATATATATATATAAACGCACATGTGTATGTAGAGATGTATGTGTCAAGTATATAGAGAATAATGTAGATCGCTTTGGTTGTTTGCAACCCATTCGGCGAATGAATCATGTTGCGTAAATATGTAACACGAATAATCTTAATCGTATGGTATGTATTAATACTTTAGATTTTGTTTACGTTTTCTTTTTCACTTGTTTTTTTTTTTGTACTTTTCCTTTTCTTTTCTTTTCTTTTTTTTCCCCCTCTTTTTCTTTTTTTCCTTTTCCTTTTTTCCTTTTTTCTTTTTGTGACAATGTTTAGTTGTGACTCTTCTCTTATCGCACGAAAGATTAAAAAATATGTAATAAGATAAGTTAATACTATTTGTCGAGAATCTATGTACTTAGTTACATATATACATATCGATTTTACAGTACAAACTACGTTATTTTAAACATGATCTATTTTTGTACAAATGATACTTGATTATTAATGTCTTCGATTAATATTGCTACTATATAATAATAATAATAATAATAATAATAATAATAATAATAATAATAATAATAATAATAATAATAATAATAATAATAATGATAATAATAATAATAATGATCAATGAAAAAGTTTTAATAATTATTAATAATTATTAAACTTTCAATATAATTTATTATAGTGAAAGTTTAATACTATTATAGATTAATATTGTTAAAAAGAAATTTATTGATTCGTGATCATCGAGATTATTCATTTTGATGTCTATGAACAATCCGAGATTAGAAAATTGTTTGACATTTACTTTCTTTCTTTCTTTTTTTTTTTTTTTTTTTTTTATTTTACTTTACGATTTATGTGCTTTTGTTAATATAATAAGACATTAGAGAAATTGTCTTGAATTAATATTTTATTTAGTATTTTATTTATTTATTGTTATAATTGTTGTATAATTACAGTTATAATAATCGTTATAATATATTAATATATATACTGTATATATAATATACTTATATACTAAGTTATATTATAGTATATGTATAATATAAGAATTTTTATAATAATTATAACAATTAATTCTATTTATATATTTATTATTACTTATTCCATATATAAGTAAATATTATATATATATATATATATATTATAAATAATATATATAATATTCAATAAATAATTATTTATATATAATACATAGTAATGTATAGATCTATTTATAATCATTTCTGTGTATGTATATATGTATGTTATATTGTACTTATTTTATAGCTATTATAAATGAAAAATATTAAACAACATATATACATATATATATATACGTAATATGTACATATAAATAGATGAAGAATATAAAAAAGAAATCAAAACAATATTTTTTAACGAAGATCGGCATTGAAATGATCAACTCGGTTAATAAATAAATCTATAAATAATCTAACTAGCTTTCTAATACATTTATTCCAATTAACAATTATCTTTCTAACTCTCTCTCTCTCTCTCTCTATATATATATATATATATATATATATATATATATATATATATATATATATATATATATATGTATATATCTTTCCTTTCTTTTTCTTTCGTTTTTAATTAATCTGAAGGAAATCCCGTTAAATGTGCTTAGTATTGTAAATTCTTTGAAAATCTTTGATAAAGACAGTGAAACACTTGCTTGACTTACTCGAGAAACTCTGGACAATATAATTCTGGTCGAAAATCAAGCTAGTACAACTCTCGATCCTTTTCTCCTTTATTATCTAACTTTCGTTGAAATTCGGCAAACGACCGGCTGAACAAAGACGCGGAAAGTCTACTCTCCTCGTATAATGTTAGATGCAAAAGTTTGGCCTCGTTAACCCGCTACGATTTCGTTTTGTAGAAGCTAAACAGCCGAGGCAGATTACACCGACACGGTAGAGGCCACTGAACCGGAAGTATTCGTCGTCCTATCAAATATTCGGTATAGTTAGAGATTCTGTTAACGGATGGTATCTCTTTGCCATTTTATTTAAATATTATACGCATATATATATATATATATATATATATATATATATATTTAGTTTTTTTTTA